TTGCAAGTACAAGGACCCGAGTTCAATCCCTGGTTTCAAAACAAACAAAATAGATCTAAAAGTAGAGAGTATTATAAGTAAAAGGAAATTTTATGACGACATTTATTGGGAAGGCACAGCATGCAAATATATGTGTGCACTCAACAATTTTATTTTTCCTACATCTTTTGTTTTATTTTTACTTAGCCCAAGCTCATTCTGCAAAGCCAGTTTCTCCCTTCCCAACTATCTCTTTATTTTTTCCTACCTCAAATAAATGTGAAACTTTGCCACCATTTTGCTTGTTTCATTCAATTCTTTGCTGAAGACAGTAAAAACCTGGAAATCACCTTGAGAAGGAGGCTCCAGCACCCCCAAGACCTAGTAACACTCTGAAGAGAAGAGGAGATATGCCCTGCATATTGCAGGATGGGCCACTGCAATGCAAGAGGGCAGTGGCCACAAAAGCAAGGGCCACAGACATTTATATCTTACTTTGACTGCGGATCCAGGCCCCTGGAAGCTGTTCTGTGCAGATATCTTGGCTGTGAACTGACAGGACTCTGTGACTGACAGTTCACGCTATCGTCCAGCCTCTTTGCAATGCCCTAATATCCCGCCTCAGTGGGAGCAAAATAAACCCAACAGTAAGTAGAAGAAAGTGAATAGTAAAGAGCAGAAACCAATGAAGTAGAAAGCAAATTACAGAGAAAAGTAGCAGAGTTGAAGTTTGACTTTCTGAGAAGATAACTTCCCAGCGATTGTTCAAGAAGAGAGCGAGAGAGTGAGAGAGCAAATGAGATCGAGAGAGTGATCTGTGCTGTCACAGATCCGTGTGTGCGTGTGTGCGTGTGTGTGCGTGTGTGTGCGTGTGTGTGTGTGTGTGTGCGTGTGTGTGTGTGCGTGTGTGTGTGCTCTCTTTCGAGAGCTGTAGCTTCTGCCCAGAATCCTCTGGACTGCTTCTCCTGGTAGCTCAATCTTCTGTGTTAGATGCTGTTCTCCCAAAGGATTCTGGAGCCAGAAATGTGTAAGTACTGCTTGCTAAGGAGAGCTCTGAACTCTTCTGTATGCAACCCTGTCATGGGACAGCTCCAGAGGGAGGACTCCAGTCCCTGCCCTGGCCTCCCTACAGCACCCTCAGTCTAAGCTCACTCTATACCCTTTCTGCTGTTCAGATAATAGGGAACCGTGTTTGTTGGGACCAAGACTGAAGGCTCTTCCCCCAGAAAGGCTCAGAGCCAGGCAGACCAGCTCTAAGAGACAAAGTGTTATGGAGGTAGAGGAAAAAGTGACCCCCTTTCAGAGTCAGGAGGGGCCAGGAGGTGGGTTTAGTCTTTTCCCATTCTGAGGATTCAGTGGTGGTGGATATTATCTTCTATTTTTGCCTTGAGAGGTGGTTTTGTTTGTTGTTTTGTTTTGGTACTGGGGATTGAGCTCAGGACCTTGTGCTTTCGAGGCAGGCAGTGGAACCACTGAGCTAAATCCCTGGCCCCTCTTTGAGAGCTGTTTTGGGGGAGAAGAACTATTTCCCTACAAGTTCCTTGAATTGAAAAAGGAAAGCTGAGCGGTTAATGAGTTGGGGGCCAGGTTCTTGTGCTGATCTCAAACTCAGACTACAGAACATTCAAGGGGGCAACAGGGTTTGCGGATGGTCATTAAAGGGCAGCTCAGGAGTCAACCTGAGTGTCGAGAGCTACTATATATATGGCAGACAAAGTGAAGGGGGATAGAGCGCCAGCCTTGCCTTCACACTTGGTTCTAATCCCGAGTCCATCACCTACCAGCTGTGTGGCCTTGAACAAGTTACTCAGCCTCTCCCAACCATAGTTTCATTATCTGTGGCATCTATGTGAAAACTGAAGATAGCTCATGAGTTCCAGGCTCCACCACTGCTGACCATCACAGTGTAGGCAGTCACCTTTCCAAAGTCTGTACCTGTCCCCTGTTGCCAGCTGTCCTTCAAGAACTATGGACACCAGAATGCAGGCGTGTGAGCCTCAGTGGGTGCAGGGCAATGGGCATGGGCTCAGTTTCCTTTCTGAGAAAGGTGCAGAGAGCAGGGTTGCTGTGTCCTTGTGTGGAGGGGGGCATTGGCCGTCAGGAGGTTTAGAGAGCTGCAGCACCATTAACCTATCAGTCATGAAACTTGTTGAGGTTTGACAAAGGGGCTGGGCCGTCGGGAGCATGAAGTCCTTTCAGTGTGTGGATGTCTCTCTGCTCCTCCACCAGTGGGCTCGGCAGCTCTGCTGTGCTTCCCAGAGAGGGGTGACGGATCTCTAGGTGACAGGGTCAGTATGCTGAGCCCGTGGCAGGTGTCAGCAGTACAAAAGGGCACCTGCTAGGGTCATGGAGGTGTTTTTTTTGGCCTGTGGCCCTGACCTTGTTAGCCCTATATTCTAATTAACCAAACCGGCTGGCCCCAGCCTCTCTGACGGCACACAGTAGTTTCTGGCATCTGATATCCTGTGAAGCAGAGTTTTATTTCTCAGCTTATCGGACAACTCATGTGAAGTACACTCAGATGAGGCCTCAAGGCCCTAACAATCGGGCCGCACACAGTATTCTCTTCTGGCAGTGTCTCCCACTGAGTTCTAGTGTCCTGGGAGTGTATTTGGGCTGGGATGTATAAGGCCTGGATCTCAGCCTTGATTCTGCCACAAAATTGTTATACAGCTCTGGGCGAATCACTTTCTCTCTTTGAGTCTCAGTTCCCTCATCTGTAAATTGGACTTTAATACCCTGTGCTCTGCCTGTCTCACCAGAATGAAGTGCAGATCCAAGCAGAAAATGAGTACTTTCGGGCTTTGAAAGTGAAAGGGGTTAGGGTATTTGGGTGCGGTGGCTCACGCCTATAATCTCAGTACTCTGGGAGACTGAGACAGGAGGATCCCAAATTTGAGCCCAGACTGAGCAACTTAGTGAGATTCTGCCTCAACATAAAAATTTTTAAAAGGGCTCGGGATGTATGATAGTGTGAAGGCTGGACATTTTATCCCTAGCACTCAAAGTTATGGTTTGGCCTCAGGTAAGACTATTAATATTAACAACTTTTGTTCACTCTTTTGTCCAATTTTTCTGGTAGCACAAAACATTGCATTCTAAAATATGAACCTTTATCTTCCACGGGGAGAGTTGGGTCCCAGGCCAGTTTAGTTGCAAAGGCTATAGCAGAAAATGCCTTTAAGATTCAGAGGCAGATAGGCCTTTGGACAGACGGCTTCGACATGAGGATCTTGGGGACATGGCGTTCAGGTTTACAGAGGCCATCTAAGGCTTCTGGCAGTCTCTTCATTTTGTATTTCTCACCTAGGACCCAAGGCTCTCCCATACCTTCGGTCAGTTCCCTGCAAGGGCCTGCAACCTTCTTGGCCAGGGCTGGCTGAATTAAGACCTCTGCACCCCTGTGGCACTCATACTCATGAATTCACCCATGTCCCACATAAAATCGAATTTCTTTACTGTTAGCTGTAATTTCCAAGTACTCACATCACACTTGGGGATGTGGGGGAAGTGAGGCAAGGAATCCACAGATTGCTTCCACATGTTTGTAAATACTAGATGTAACAGTGGTGGAGACCTTGGACTGCAGGAGAGTTGTACAATGCATTGCCATACAGCAGCAAGCTAGGGACATATACTAGGAGTGACACATGACATGCACATGACAGTGGGCTAAAGAAGCCAGACCAAAACAAAACAAAAAAACCAAAAAACAAACCATCTACTTGTCCCCTTGACCTGGAATTCAAAAACAAGAAAAACTAAAACATGGTGTTAGACATCAGGATGGTGACTCCAGCTACTTAGAAGCTGAGGTTGGAATATCACAAGTTCAAGCCAGCCTGAGCAACTTAGCAAGACCCTGTCTCAGAAAAGCGGATGAGGCTCAGGGTGCAGCTAGGGCTAAAATCCTTGTCCAGCACATGTGGGGCTCTGGGTTCAATCCTAGTATTCAGATAAAGAAGAACAGTGGTTATGCATGTTGTATGTATCCCTCAGGGAAGGGGACAGAAAGAGGAAGAGGCCCAAGCTGGGCTTTGGGTGGTGGGCCAAGTCTTGCTTCTTGGTCTTCTTGGTTCAGCTTGAGGAGAGCCACAGAGTCACACCCACATTTTAAATTGTGCATATTTTGGCCTACATGCTGTATTTTGATGAAAGCATAACAATGTGAACATTTATTGATTTTTAAATTGTAATTTGACCTCTAATTTTGTAGTCAATGCCTGTTTTTCAGTTCTTGGAACACTTTTGGATTAGGGCACCTAGTAGTTTGGGCCACAGTTGGAAGCCATTGTCCTCCCCTGTGCTGCAGGTGGGTCCTTCTCCTCCATGGACTCCTTGTCTTTACTATGCTCTAAGATGCTCTGGGAGGCCAAGCTGTACAGACCCTGCAGCCACCATTCTCTCAGGCTGCAGAAAGCACCCTTAGCCCTTCCCCGAGCATCCCTGCCTTCTCCACCCAGGGGGCCCAAGCAGTTATGTCCACACTGTCCTTAGAATTTACATGCATCTCAGAAGGTTCCACATGCATGTCTTGTCCTTTATGGATCTCTTGATGCTGGGCCCTCCATCTCCTTTGTCTTTGTGACCCTCCAGTACCCAATACAGAGCCAGGCAGAGGAGGCCTTCAGGAGACAGGATCTCTTTGGACGTTGCCTTGAAGTTCTCTTTCCTACAGGATCCTGCCTGGGTAGGGGTGCGCTTAGGGTGACTTTTTCATTCATGAGCCAGTAACACTGAAGCCTATTTGTCCCCTCCTACAGCTCTGCTTTGATTGTAAAATCAGGACGGTGATCCTGGCATCACAGAGCCACGGTGAGCCTCACAGGGACTAAGGTGGAAGCCTGTTGTCCCTCTGCTCTTGGGTGGCATTCTCAATCCTTGCCAGGGATGGTGTCAGTAACAGTAGGTCTTGGAAGGAAATGAGGGGCCCTTTCATTCCTCAACAGCACCCAAATAATCCACAGTTTGGAAAAGTTCAAGGAAACACTAACAATTTATTGATTTCCTATATTTCAAAAAAACAAAAAACAACCCCCCCCACGCACTAAAGCATATACATGGTGCATTATGCAGGGAAACTAAACTTGGCCAGCGCAAGAGTCTTACACAAACATGAAGGAGGGGGAGGGATGGGCTAGAGGGCGCCTCCCAGATTCCTCACCGCATCCGGGGCCTCCCTCCCTGCTGTCCTGGAGCCCCATCATTATCTCTTAGCCAGCAAAGAACATCCTGTCGCTGGGGTCCCCAGAGAACTGTGGGGTGGAGCCCTACTGGAGAAGCCACTGGTGGTCAGTGAGTCTTAAGCACAGGATGCCCCAGACTCAAGGCGGGTGGGGGTTTGGTGTCCTTCCTCATTTGCTCCCAATCTGGAACTTTCTTATTTTGGGTTTTGATCCTCATAGCATGGGGCCACTGTGGACTTAAGATACTAAGATGTGCCTCAGTTACAAAGAGTCTAGCAAGGTCCTTTCTGTAAAAGATGCACCCCTCGTGTTCTTCCCAAGTGACAGGTGTGATCAGAGGCCTGGGTGACCAGCCCACCTGGCCAGCTTGAGAGGGCAAGAGAGAGGGTGCCTAACTGTCCATGTCAGGCCTCTGAGTTTGGAGTAGCTGCCTCATTCCCAAAGGAGAGGAATGGGCCCATCTGATTCTCCATTCTGGGGTGAAGGAAACTGAACCAAGTGGTGGCAGGAAGACTGGACCACTCTGGGGCGTAGGGCACCTCCCTGGGTGGCTTACTGCCCTCTTGCCCTAGCTGTGGTGCAGTCCTCTGTAAATGGAGGATCCTAAAGCCAAGGGCCCTGTGTCATTCCTCCTTCCATCCCCAGGACAGCATAATCCATGTGAGGACAGGGGCCAGGGCTGCTGTGTTTGCTGATGTGCTCTGAGTGTTTAGAACCCTCTGCCTGGTACGGAGGAGGTGCTCCAGACAGGTTTTTAAGAAATGGATCATTCTGGGCCCCGAGGACTGGCAGAGATAGCCTGAAACCTACTCTTGGGATGGGCTGGTGGAACGGGCTCCCAGGAGTCCCTGGGAAGGACAGCCAAGAGCAGGCCTTCCAGGGTGGGTCCAAACAAGGGAAGTGCACGGTGGGGACCCTTCCACTTCCTGCCCTATCTACATTCCCTCCTCCAGTCCCCAGGACACCAGACTCTCCCTCCCTCGACTCTCGGTGGCCTTGGTGGGAAACATCTCGCTGGTCAGATCCAATTTGCCTCCCCCATTCCATCCGAAGCAGGAGGAGGCAGACGCCCAGCCCTAGCCCCTGCCCATTCCTCTCTACACGGGAAGATCAGATTAAACAGCCATTGCTTGAACAGCCTGTGGCTTCTAGCACCATTTTTGGCTTCTTTCTCCTGCGAGAAGCAGATCACAGGTGTCCTAAAAGCAGGGTTTGCAGGTTGAAGCTGCTCTGTGTGTGCACAGGCCAGGAAGACCACAAACACCATCTCGTTGGTGTCTGCTCCCCAGTGGCCTACAAGGCTAAGAAAGCACCTTCTGTCTCCAGTGGCCCAAACCCTGCCCAAACCCAGTCCTCCGGGAAGGCAGCACTGTCAGGCACATGGGGTCCTCCCACTCGATACACTGAACCTCCTGGTCTGCAGCAGCTTAAGCGGGAGGTGAGCGCAGCCCTGCCCCTTGGAGACGGCAGCAGGAAGGCTGTGTACTGTGTACTGACACCGGCCTGGCACAACCCGCTCCCCGATCTATGGGCAGCTGACCCAAAAGCACATGTGGCCCCTGCCTAGAAGGGAAAGACAGAGTCCTCTGCACCGCCTTCTGAGCTGCAGTGAAATGGCACACCTACCTCGCCTTCTGCAGCTTGTGGTGATGCTGTTAGGTACTCAAACACACAGTACATGCACACACACACACACACACAACTTCACACTCACTTTATATACACACACACACACACACATATATATCATTTCTCAGAGAAGTAAGTATTGACACGAGATGTAAGCCCCTTTAACTGAAGAAAGTCCCCCCACACCTCCCCAATCCCCCCATTGCCTGCCAGTTCCCCCGAGGAAAAAAAAGGAATCTAAAAATATTTCCACCCTCCACAGTTTCCAGGTTTGTTCTCAGATGAATCTCAAATTTTTCAAATACTGCACAAGATGAACAGAAAAACCCATCCAGCGAGGCCTGAAGTCTTCTCAACTGGGTCATAGCCTTCTGGAAAAAGAGCAATCCTCAAATTAGCATGGAGTAAGATGGTTCTGTACCAGTAAAAGCAACACAGACTGCCACCGCCTGCCACTGGCATCTACCCTCGGGTGTGGTCTGACCTATGAGTAGATTCAGGGCCACACTTGACTGGATCCTGTCACCTCAGGAACTGACAGGCTGGCTGGTTGGCTGTGGCCTGACACTCCCAGAATCCCCTGCTCCTCTACTCCCCTGCTCTAGGCTGAGGGCCATGTGCTCATTGGAAACCTGCAGCCCATTCTCCCCTTTCCTGACCTTCTGTTGTTGAAGCTCATCTATCTGGAGAGCTGTGTTCAGACACAGTTTGTCCCAACAGTTTCAGCCCTCTCTCCCCACCAGGACCCTACCGGGATCAGAGCTAGGTAGCTGCCTGAATGTGGCTTGGGCTGAGAGGTCAGGAGGTCTCATCTTCACTCCTGGTGACTTGCAGATGGCTCCACACTGGGGATGCTTCCGGACTCCTCTCTAGGCTTGTTGGTATCTGCCTTCAGTACCTAGCTGTGGTTCTCAGCTTACCCACACCAGGAGCACTTTGCTTTATTTTGTGACAGGGTCTCTCTATGTAGTTCAGGCAGATCTTGAACTCTTGGAGATCCTCTTGCCTCAGCCTCCCAGGATTGCAGGCATGCACCACTATGCCCGGCCCAGGAGCACTTTGCATACTTGTTTACAAATACACTTTCCTGGACCCCACTCTCTGGGTACTGAGTCAGAACAACTGGGGCTGGAATCAGGACTGCATTTTAGCCAGCATCTCAGGAGACTCTAACGAATGCTAAGGCTCAAAAACCTTTGACAAAGTATTGGTTCTGAGTTTCTGGTCCCTTAAATCTTAGCTGGAAACAAGCTTGCCCACACTAGGCATGTGCAAAGACTGGAAAATGGATTCTAAGAAGGATAAAAAAGTGAGCCGAGGTGCTGCAGATTTAGCTCAGTGGTACTGTGGTACTGTGCCTGCCTTGCAAGTTCAAGGTCCTGAGTTTAATCCCCGGTACAAAAAAAAAGAAAAAAAAAAAAAAAAAAAAAAAAAA